GTGAGACTAAGTATAGAATTTGTAGTCACATATGTATCAACAACGTGGTTAACTTGATAGCCCTAACCATTCTAAATTCTAACAGTTGTGCTATTTTAGGGCAGCTGTATATCAGGCATAGGAGATAATACACTGCTAGCTTAGGTATCGATGGCCTAAAGGCAGAGGTGACCTTCATCTCCTGTAAAGTCTGAGAAAATAAAATGATATATTGTAAAAATATAAGACTCCTTTGATTTTGGAAATACACCTGAGGCCGACTTTGTTCGCAAATACCATTGTAAAGTGTGTTTATCTACGCAAATTATTCGACGCAAATCCGCGAGTTCCACCACGGGGATATTAGAGCCCCTTTGAATTTCAAGCATACGTTTGTCGTTCGTAGAAATCGGCGCTGCATGATGTGTAGCCAAGTCTTGGTGAGTGTAACAGCTACAAAACCCTGCAGAAGATACAAGAATCACTTAAGGTGGAACTAGACAAGTCCCTACATGAGTAAGACTCAGACTGAACCTCGGAGAAGCTGCTAGAAATGACAACCTTGGAGTAGCAACTGGAATCATCCAGAAGTAAGCTGACCTTGGAGGGCATAACTTAAAATGTAAAAAATCTATAAATGCTTGGCTTGGTTTGTAGAGTTGTGCTCTTTATAGTTAAATTTTAAATGTGTCATCAACCATATGACTGCTATTTGCATTCTGTAGTTGATGGATGACTCTGAGCTTGAGCTATGGGTCTACTCACCCGAATAGAGTAAATGACTAAGCTGTCCAATTCTGTTAGGCAAACCAGCCTGGATTACATACCGCCACGTCATCCATCCATCCATTCTGAATTGTGAGTATCAGCTGTAATCTCACCAGCAAATGCTTGGTGTGGTCAATAATGTTCAATCCGTAAATTCCGACCCAGATTTGGTGTATCCCCCTTCGTGGATGTATTTAACGTCGGCATTATTTTCTCCACTGACCATTTGTCTTGTCTCGTTTCTCACGCCTGTTAATGCCCTAGCGTTTTCCACCATAATCTTTATCTTCCTGTGGGCCTTCGAATTGTTGTGAGCGTATGATTAGTGGCCAGCTAAGACGAGAGCGAGTCGAGGAGAGGTGCGGTTGTTGAAGCAAAGTTGCACTAGTTCCAGCTTCTAAATTTAGTAAGGCTTCCGTCAGAATTTATCTTGTTGGGAGTAGAAACTTGATGTGCTAAGGAGTCTTGCATCATTGAATAGCTTGATCGGTATCACAGATCTTGGCTGAACTTGGCCTTGGGAGAATATTTCACTCCCAGGTGCGTGGGGGACACCGCGGACTCGAGTTCAGTCTTCATCGCCCTGTCCAAACATTCATGGGTAGCGGGAGGTTGCACGTTTCAGCTGCCCCCAAATTGCGCCACGTCCGCTGCAAGAGCTGACCTTTCAGCGGTAATGTTTGACCACGCTGGATACCTGCCTTTTACTCTGCTAGCCCAATGGAACGCTGTCCGCCAGGTGCCGTGATGCTGTATCACTTCCGATGCTCTCAGCATTCAAACCTCGCTACGGCAGGCAGATAATATTTTGTCCAATGACAGCTGCTTAGCTAATGTGAACCGACTCCCGGCTCATTGCTAGCATGATTTCGTGGCCTGACCGGCATTAACCTCCAACGGTTGCAACGCGCCTCATTTACTTCCATCCGAGAGTCTTGACATAACAAGCAAATTGCTTTTCCGTCGACAGGTCAACTATCTCATCAAAGGCTCAATTTAAGAAATTGAGGACTATCATTACGAATATTGATATTGTATTCTCAGGACCTTTATCGTGATCGGCAATATTATCTATGCACAAAGTATAATCTCAAGCTGCCTCTATAACATCACAGGACCCTCTTTTAACCATGTAAATACTTGTCGTGCCCAGATGGCTACTAGCTGCCAAGGGGCATGCTAACAGCCACTCTTTGGGTCTTCAATGTAAGACAAGACGACATTGTGAGGCTTAAGCATTTCCGCTAGCTCCAGACCTTTATCTTTACTATCAAGCTACAGCCGCATCGGGCTATGTTCATTACGGCAGCTATTTGTAAGTTTTGCCATGCCCTTTCAAGATCCTGGCTAAGAGTTGTAATACTGGAAGCCATGCGGATATCCGGTCTGTTCAATTGCTCGAGCCATTTCCGACCCAAGTTTCTGAACAGACCATCGTGTTCGACTTGGGATTTGCTGCGACCCTTATCGACATAGGCCACGCTGGAATAACGCCAATAACTGTATCATTATAGCAGAATAGTTGTGCAGAAACATGAAATATCAGCCCCACCGTGAAAATTAGTTAACATGTCAAATTTCCGCATCCTAGCAAACTTAGCCGTTGGTCCTTGGAGACATGTCACTTCTCGCAGGGGACGCTTACTCTCCTTTCAAGCTTCTTTGTCCGCTAGGTTGACTTTTAGGGATTAATTATTTTCTGGGGTTTTTTGATTCACATGAATCAAGGGCCATCAAGTACACTGGGCTCTTCCCTAACTCAACCCACACCCTGAACAATATTTCTGATGTGCGAATAAGAATGAAGATTTCATTAAGTGGACTAACTAACTAGATCTGTATGTACATATTATCACGTGATCCGATATTCTCTACTTCCATTTCTATCTACCCTTGTTAGGATGCCTATCCCTCATACAATGGCCATGATAGATAGCTAGACGGTTCAGTAATTAGCCGTAGGTTTCAGCATTTCCCACACAACCTTCTACCCAAAAACGACAAGAAAGGTAGCGGTGGAAACTACATGCAAGGAAAAAAAGTCTCAACAACCTGCAGCTCCAGCCAGGTGAGACAAAGGCACCGGAGCCACATGAGGTGCTCGAATCCAAGTCTTTCTACCTTCATTGTAACATGAATGGCCTATTCGATTCAAATCATCAACGTCGTATTGGATGCATGGTATGCCCAGGAAACTCATTGGATAGCTTTTCCTCTACGAAAAAGGAAAGTGAGTGGATGATGAGTAGGCTTTTGATCCAACTATTTAGTTTGATGGCGGTTAGCTTCAAAATGATGGTGCTAGGGGTCTATGCTGCGAGATGAATAGCAATTAGACCGTAAGCCTGATAGAAATCTCCACAGAAGCACGGACACGGAGATTTACACGTTTAAGATTATTGTGCGCTCCGATACTTTGAAAGCGAAAGTGCAGCTGACACTATGAAAACAGGCCAACGAGGGAATGCTTCATGTGCAGCCCCTGGTGGTGTTCTCTGGTGTAGTTTGAGTAGCCTGGGCACTTACTACACTTGGGAATAAGACACCTCAGACTACAATTCGCGCGGAGACTTGTCAATGGATGATGGAGGCATGTCTGGACTTCTCAGGGTTTTTGAGACGTTCACCTGGGTGAATCTTTACGGATGAGGGCTATTTTTGAGTGATGAAAAGACCGCCTTAACTTCGCAGTATTATTAGCGAGTGAAATCTGAGGCACGAGCGCTCTTCTTGTACATTGGGTCACCTTTTCTATACCTTTTCTCTGATATTATGTCGTAGCTAGATGGCAGTGTATGTAATCTAAATATAATGCAAAAAAAAGAAGGAAAATAGTGCTACACAATGTTGCCTCAGCAGACTCTGCAGTGGGATACAGAGACTTGTATGGAACTTTGCTGTAACGTGTTGAGTTTTTGTTCCCATGAATTAATTAATTCATTTTATTGTCCTGTCTTAGCCTACGACTATGTAGGACATGTAGCTTCTCTTTTACTACAGGCCAAGGATACCTATACCAGTAGTATATCCCCTCCTATGCCTCCCATACAGCTCCCCTCAAACAGTACCACCCCTCACAAGTCCTCATTCGATCATACATTTAGAGGAGCCCTTAGCCCTTCATTTTCTCCCCTCTCCAGCCAATGAAACGATGGCCATTTGCGGGTGTATGGCAGCCGGGAAAAATCGCAAAAACCACTGGGTGCGGAGCTCTCCTAATACCGACATAAGGACTAAATCCGAAGACATAGTGATCCTTCTGATGCGTTCGAAGAGGCCGACCAGCTGGGTGCTACAGATTTTTGCGTATCTTGAAAGTCACCCTCTTCATTTCTAGCCTCCTTCCGACTCTTTCTTAGAGATCATGCTGAAATTTCAGAAATAGACCAGGCTGGATGTGGATGCTGTAAAGTAGCCCAGTCCAACTTTATTGTGTAGTATGTAATGAGGAGTAACGCAGACTCGTCTTCAAGGTAAGTCCTACTAGCTAATTTGCGGAAACCCTGATCTTGGCGCTCAGAAATGTTTCAAAGTCGAAAAACCCTCGGAAATGTCAGGCCTATTATGTTCAACAGCGACCTATTCCCCCTTCGATTCCACGTCCCAATTTCCTGCCCTCCCTCAAGTCGTAGAGTCCAGTTAAAGGCAACAGGCCCCCACAAGCCAAACCCCAGGCTTTGTATCTCACGACTTGATCCCCTTCTTGCGGGTATACGTGATGTCCTAATTTTATAGTGGTTGATGGCTGGTGATTGCTGGAGCAACTCATTTTTCGCTGGTTAAAGCGAGGTGATACATGATTGGATAGAGGTTGAAGATTCACATGAGAATAGCAAGAACGACATTGATGCGAAGTCGTCGAATAGAGATATGGTCGTCTTTGCTTTTGACTTGCATCCGGATGCTGAACTAAACTCGGCAATTACAGACATGCAGAGCAGGCTGAGCAACAACACCGGAACCGTTAGAAGGTAAAGAATTCCTCTTTTCCGGCCTGTTTGGGCACTGTTGAAGCTTGAAGTATCACATGTTCTAGATATTCTTATATCCCATGTCCCTACAAGATGATGTGCTGGCCACCATCGTACACAGAATCGTACTCAGTCATCCAATTCATATATGACGTAAGTCTCCGACGGATTATCTTTGTTCCTTCGGGTCCCACTTCTATTCATTAGCTCCATACGGTCTGCTATTTACACTAAGGATTCCTTACATGCCTAATTTGGCTAACATTGTAATATTTTCTAATTATGAGCTTTTTGCCCGGCAAGCACGCTAATTCGCAGCCCCCAGTCCCTCATCGAAAAGTACAGCCGCTCCAAGACCCTATATGTTCTTCGAGCAGTCGATCAATACCTTCCGAAGCATGTGGAAGCTCTAGTCCTGCCGTTAAGAAGCTGCCCCAGGATAATATACCTACCACTTCAAGTTCTTATCACGCTTCGACAATGACACCAGCTGAGGATACTACAGAGGAGACATCCCTACTAGATGGATACGTCAACGCAGAGCAATGGACCAAGGGGGTCGATCGGGAGACTGCCATTCCACAAAGCCAGATTTCCGGATTTGATCTGGACTTGTCAAATTTGGACCAGGCTGACGAGGGCACATTTGTTCCCCATCCGGAAAATAGCTCTATCGAAGGTAAGAAGAGTAATCTGACCTACAGTGGGGTATCAATTGGAGGCAGCGGAGGGGGAGAATGGAGTAGCGGTCGTCTAGGAAATATGCTTGGAGGCTTCAACAGACGAAATGCCTCCGTTCACAAGAAAAAGATGAGCACAACAAGCTATTTAGCTGAGCGACATGGTATCGCAAATACTAAGTCCATGTGAGGAATCTAACTGTCCTTACCAACAATACATCACTCACTAACCCGTGTATCTCAAGGTATATGAATTACTATATTCCTTTCTTGGCTTGGATTCAACAGTACCGCTGGGCTTACATCAAGGGCGACCTAATCTCTGCTTCAACTATGGCATCTTTTTATTTACCAATGTCTCTCTCCTACGCGTCCAACCTGGCTCATATTCCGCCTATCAATGGCCTATACTCTTTCGTATTCAATCCATTAATTTATGCCATTTTTGGCAGTTGCCCTACAATGATTCTCGGACCAGAAGCACCCGGAAGCTTATTGGTTGGGAATATCGTACGGTCAAGCATAGACAGTGGCGCGATATCGGACGAAGATCTAGCCAAGCACGCGGAAGTCGCTGGAGTTCTAGTCGGAATTACTGGCGCAATAGTATTAATAGCTGGACTAGCTCGCCTTGGGTTTCTTGATAGCGTGTTGAGCAAGCCATTCCTTCGGGGTTTTATATCTGCGATCGGCTTTGTCATTGGTGTCGATCAGTTGATCCCTGAGATGGGTCTTGCAGACTTAGCTGAAGAAACGGGTAATGTCAGTCACGGTAGCAGTACAGAAAAGTTGATGTTTCTTATTAAGCACGCAAATAAAGCTTCTGGCATTACCTGTGCCGTTGCTGGGGTCAGCTTCTTAATAATTATGTTTGGGAGGTCTCTCAAGCTCAACTTACAACCACGCTACCCTTCCGTAGCATACATACCTGACCGTTTTATCGTGGTCACTTTGGCGACTTATTTTACATGGCTATTCCAGTGGGACCAGAAGGGCCTAGAGATACTCGGTAATGTTAATTCAACATCGGCTCGCATCTTTCAGTTTACCTGGCCCTTCCAGTTGTCATATATGAGACAAATCCGGGAGTCAATGGGTACTTCTTTTCTAATTGCGCTTCTTGGATTTTTTGAGTCAACTATAGCAGCCAAGAGTTTAGACATGCGCGATAAAGATGGGATTCAAGGCATGGTTCTTAGTCCCAACAGAGAACTAGTAGCCTTGGGTCTTAGTAACCTAACAGCGGGCTGCTTTGGCGCTTTACCAGCTTTTGGCGGATATGGTAGAAGCAAGGTAAACGTTAGTACAGGTGGAAAAACCCCAATGAGCAGTGTATTCTTGAGTTTGATAACACTGATATCGGTAGTGTATCTTCTACCCTTGTTTTATTACATACCTGTGGGTGTTTGGTTGTTGTGGACATACACTGAGCTAATTTGACGCAGAAAGCGGTTCTCTCATCGATGATTACTGTTGTCGCATGGTCCCTCATTGAAGAAGCGCCTCATGACATCATGTTCTTCTTGAGGATCAAAGGTTATTCTGAGCTTGTACTAATGGGGATCATCTTCGGGGCTACTATATTTTACTCGATTACATTGGGTGTTACGATTGGAATAGGCTTATCCATTCTATCAGTCATTAAACATAGCACACGGTCTCGCATACAGATCCTCGGTCGTATCCCTGGCACGAATCGATTTGAGAATGCCGAAGACAACCTCGATAAGCTTGAATTCTTTGAGGGTTGTCTGATCGTCAAGATACCAGAGCCGCTAACCTTTGCTAACACAGGCCAATTGAAAAGCCGCCTGGGCCGTCTTGAGCTTTATGGCACCACACAAGCGCATCCGGCACTTCCGCGCGTCCGTGCTCCTGAGCACAACAAGAACATCATCTTTGATATTCATGGTGTGACAAGTCTGGATGGGTCAGGAACACAGGTGCTGGCTGAGATTGTCAAAGGGTATCGAGATCGGGGTGTGCGCGTCTTCTTCAGCCGCTGCCCGACTGAAGGTACGCTCGTATCTGATTTATTCCGTCGGAGTGGTATATACAATATGTGCGGGGGTTCAACACATTTTGTATCGGATGTAGGTGAAGCAGTTCGCCTGACCGAAATGGAAGATATAGATCAGATGGATCAATCGTGCTGAATGAAATAATATCTCGCGGATATGCGGACGGTTGATTGCATTTTGGTGACATGTCATCTCATAATTGGATGGTAGTTTGACGTATCTAGAAGCCGAACTGAACGCAACACCATGCTGGAACACGTCGGTCAGAGAACGTTTGCAGTATTCCCTCGGGGTCGTGACGGTAATGTACAATTAAACAATGAACATAAGTCACGTCGCTCCATTACCCCAAGAATGCCCAACCCCAGCGGCTCCAGTAAACCGCCTTGTCGCCTGTCGATCTTCCATGCGGGACGCTGGAGTCGCCCATTCCTGCCGGAGAGCTATAGGCGGGGCGGGGGGTATGGCTCGAATAAGTAAAACCCATGACTTTTCTAGCATGATGTCCGGATACATGTCTCGGGAAGCTCATTTGCTTCATGCAATGACAACGGCAGCCTTCTATCTGCACAGAAATCTAATGTCAGAAGAGTCTATCAATTTCTACATATCATGTACGCTATCCAACTGTCGACATGGATTGGACCTTGGTATAAACAACTGTGACTGTGGTTCAGCTTCCATTTTACGAGTGACGGGCTAAAGGTTGTCAGCAATCTAGTTAGAGCACTGCCACAAACGATAGTTATTTTGGGAGAATGTCTTTGTTCGATATCGGAAGATGACAGCAGTGGCGGCTAAAGGTGCTGCACGATTCCGTTGGACAATAGGATGTAGGTCGTAGCATTGTTGCCCTATCCACATTCCTCGGGGGAGATGACTACGACGTGCGCGGTAAGCTACAGGTTGCCGAAGATTCGCCCATATCTGTAGCGTCCTGCAAAGCCCCTGGCCATCAGACATCAGGGCGCATTTGGTCCAATTCTGCCCTCCTGGATCGTTTGTCTCGAGAGGGATCAGTGACCCGAGTTCCGCAAGATGAAACCACATGGGTCGAGAGAAACAACATGCATTGACCAATAGGCTTAGGATACCAGGCTAGTTCACAGGCAGGTAGGCGTGCAGACTACCAGAATTGATCGTTTGGCATGTCGGTGTCCATAGCGCGCTCTGCTCCCTGCAATGACAGCAAATCCTCATTCTATCTTGAATAGGCCGGAATTGCATGTCTTTCCTGAGTGACATGATGGACTCGGAGGTGCGCGCGGTGGGTCTGAATGTTGCTGGCAGCTAGCTGCTAAGTGCTGGCTGTGGATCAGAACGATCGGCGAGGAGCCGAGTATTCCAAGGGGTACCATCCTGCACGACTAGGGGGGAATCGGGCTGATGACATCTATCTCATGTTGCATCAAGCAAGCTGGCTATTTTTGTTTTTTTTGCGGACGTCCACTGCTGTTCATCGGACTGAGAGAGTGTACTGTTCCGTCGCATAATCCGCACATTCCGACTTTACTTTGCAACTGCGAGTTTCTACAATCAGATGGTTCGCTTAGCAACGCTAGGATTCCTCGGGGTGGCGAGTGATCGTCACTCCAAGTCAATTCATTCTTCTCCACTCCAAATGATAAGCATTTTGGCGTGTTTGCATCGGCGCTTAGACGACAACGTTAAGCAGGATGATGCGCCATCTACTATTGTCAAATCCCTTCTCGTGCAGCTATGCACAGACCCTACGAGAAGCTATTTTCGTTTCACAATGGACCTTGCCCAGAGTATAAGAAGCTTTCCAGTCACCGCCGTGAAATTATCTTTAACTACTTACGTCAAGCACCCGCATCTAATCATCCACATTCGCCTCGTCCTTGATATTATCTCTATTTCTTGATCCGCAATCAGGTTACTGTCGCTTATACTATCAGCTTCATCCGCGCCCTGGTCATTAGTCTCCTAGCTTGGCACTAATTCCATATCTTCAAATACTTGCCATAATTTGCCACAGTTCATAGAAACTTCACCCACAACAATCTGATTTCAAACAAATTTAATAAATATATATTCATCATGCAGATTCTTTCTTTCCCACTCCTACTTATCGGTCTCCTCTCAGTAGGGTAAGATCTAACATTCCTGTAAAAGGCCCTTCGATAACATTATATCATAGATTTGTATCAACTGCACCAGCGGTCAAACTACCTTGGTCTTTGAAGCTCCGCGACGATGGTGGTGGTTATTACGAGCAGCCCGACGTGCCATCACCAACAGGTGGATATGCATACCCGTCAGATGGATATCCTTCCCCAACTGGTGGATATGGTTCTCCCGAGGGCGGATATCCCTCCCCAACCGGCGGATATGGATCTCCAGACGATGGATACCCAGCGCCCACTGGAGGTTACGGGTCTCCTGACGATGGATACCCAGCACCCACTGGTGGATACGGATCTCCCGATTATCCATCCCCAACTGGAGGTTATGGATCTCCTAGCTACCCAGCCCCCACCAGCCCCGGGGAATACCCAAGTCCAACTGGGGGATACATGTACGGAGCAGCGGCAAACAAACGTTCATTGAAAATTTAAGTTAGTTTATCACAGTCTCGCTCTACAAAACCTTGGTCTCGGCCTACCACGTTTGCTTCAGTACTCGCACAATGCTTTCTTGCGCTACTAGAACCGGCCGTTTCATACGCTTTTTCTTTCGTCTTCTCTCGCTCACGACTAACTCCTTTCCGACATTAAAATAGCGTGTGTTGTCGAAGGACTTCATTTAGAGATAACTTATTACGCCAAATTAGAAAGGCTTTCACGGGAATTATTATTTTGAAGGGGCTATGAATCTTTAATTAAATGTATTCATGAGTCATAACATGTATGAAATTAAACGTCTTTTGAATGAATTTTTGCCGTGAAGTACTCATCTAACTCCGTTTACAGCCTGCTTAACACACTTAATTAGACTAAATCGGTTCTCTATTGACTCTTGTGACTCTTGTAAAAAACATGCTACTAATAGAAATAACTTTATGCGTCAAACATTGTTTCCGCAGCCAACAAATTATTTCTTGTTATAGAAAACTATGAATAATTAATGAGCCAAGAATGGGAATGAGATTTCAATGGTCTTCTCCCACGTACAGGTTGCTCAGGCCACAACCGTGTAACACTAGTGACAACTACATTGAGGGCCTAGATGGTGCAGTGGTACACCATTCGGGCCGTTCTCTCGAGTAGATTCTGGGGAGCTTGAACACTTACCCCATTTGAGACAGGAGAAAGCTGGTTCGAATCCAGTAAAACCTACATACCATTCTCTCTCGCGGTGAAATTATACTTGTGGGATGATTAAAGCACATTCAGATATTGATAAGGGTGGAAAAACCATGGCAATATACTTTTTTTTCTAAACTTAGGCTCGAAGCAGTGGTCCCGTAGCCCTTATGGATAATAGTTCGGTAGAGATGACGGGACTAAGCCGATCGTACTGTGTAAATCCTTTCCACAAGGTAGTAATTTGCAAAGTTAAATCAGTGACAGCAGGGCCGGAGCGATTAGGGCACGCCTTTCCACGTTGCAGCGATGCGCCGTTGCGCCGTTGCGCAACGCTCGCGACCCTAGCTCGCATCCGAGGCTGAGTGGGCTGTAACCTCTCTCTCTCCCTATATCTCTGGTGGTCAGGTTAAAGCGTCAGCCCAGCCTCGTCTCCTCAAAGACCTTGCATGGGCGGTGTTTTCCGTAAGAGAGTGGGATTCAGCCGCCCATGTCCCTATCATGTATGTCCTCCGGGACCACCTACTCGGTCGCTCGTTCCGCGGAAGCTTTCTCCACTCGGACTGGCGCTGAACGAGGGAATATTAACGCAAATCGGCAGTTGGGGCACAGTACTTGACATGGTTCGAGAACGGCGGGCACTTGTTACCACGTTGTGCCGGGATTTTGAGTCTTGGCAGCCCTTATTTTTCCATTCAGCTTCACATAGTTTCTATCTGAAGTTCGTACCGTGGTCATGTGATGACTAGTCTAGTTGCCATGGTGTTCCACGACATTCTGGCACGCTACCGCGCCCCACCATGCTGGAACGATGGTACTACGATGCATTCCAACGCAGAGCTCAGGGCCGACACGAAGTGCCGACATTTTGGCGGTCGACATCGATCGGAAAGCTTATACTGCTTGGCTTGCCCCACCCGAACTGCAGACAATCCCAGGGGCCAGGCAACGGGAGTTTACGGAGGTGGCCCAGGCACGAGCTGCTGCTTTGAGGGTTGAGTTGGGAAGTCTATCTGTTTTGAAAAGCACGATTAATTGAGTGTTATACTAGAGTGCTAGGCACAATGTCTGAATCTAATTTGACTTAACATGGGTTTTTGATCTCGAAATACTCAATATTGCCAATATGACTACTTCAAAAGAATCAGAAAAAAACATGAAATAATAGACCTTCTAAGTCCGATGCCCTGCGTCCTGCCTGCATCGCACGATGTTACCAACTAAGAGGTCAGTTTCTTCTGCAACACTTTGACTTGCGCCAACCGCTGTCGTAACTACTGAGGTCGGATGGCAGGACCGAACATCTGTACGCAGTTTCCTCTACGAACCTGGGAGCGAAATATTCTCCCAGAGACTTGTTCAGTTAAATTTCGCAATATCAGAGAATTTAGCCCACGAGGCAATGATTCAAAATATTCCACCACGTCGTTTTTTCGCTACCAGCCAGGTCAACTCTTACCCAAGTCTCATTAAGTCTACAAATACTACCTAGTAAACTTTTTTACAATGGCCACACCTCATATCGACTATTCTCCGGCTTCATCTAGTGGGTCTAGAAGATTAGGATCATTGTACCTCCGTGCAAGGTTCGCAATAACTGTTGCACAAACCACCTTTGCAGATTAATGTCACATCCGGATAGGAGTTACTTATATACACACTGAAGATATACTGTACACATCACAATAAACCCCTGCATACAGATATGCATGTACAATAAGGGCCTAGTGATATTGTTATCCAAGACGCACCAGCTGACCACCAAATACACGCCCACGCAGTTATTTACAACTGCCAGAGGACAGAAAGCGTGGCGCACAAATCTGTGAGGCATTCCTTTGGGATGGACGTGAGAGGGATCAGGAAAAGTTCACAAAATGAGGCAGATCACGGATATAATCTCGACGGGCGTGAAATCCTGAATTTTGGCAAATATTTTTACGAATTGAGCATTGTGCGCGCCAAGAATTTACCTGCGAGAGTGCAGCTGACAATATACACACAAGCCGACGATGGAAATGACGCCTCAGACTACATTTCGCGCGGAGAATTGTTTATGGATGATGGAAGTATGTTTGGATAAGTTAGGGTTTTTGAGACGTTTACCTGAATAGATATTCACGGATAAGGGCTAATTTGGGGCGATGAAAAAGCCGCCATAACTTCGCAGTGGTATTTGCAAGTGAAATCCCAGGCATGAGTGCTCTTGTATGTCGAATCATCTTTTCTATACATTTTCTCTGATATTATGTCATATCTAGATAGCTGCATACGCAATCAGAATCTGGTGCAAAAAAAACTACCGAAGCCGCTTCATCACACCTTAATCCACCGAAGCAAACGTGCTGCTTCCTGTTTTTAGAGGGTCAGTGACTCTATCCGAATTCATAGCCTTGGCGCCCACAGGCACCCCAAATTCAAAAATCTAACAGGAGATGGGAGTCTCGGCGTGTCCATGAGCGATCTCTTCTTTCTCTCATCCACAGTCCCAGCCGCCTTGCTCAGATTGTGAAGTTCCATTAGAGCAACGATCTCCTGTAAGCCAAGACTCGAGCTTAATATTTTATGACTTGGTTTCCTCCTCGCAGGTGCATATGGCGTCGTAATTCTTTAGTAGGAGACTGCCGGTGATCGATAAGGCTAGCTCTCGCTCGTAATTGAGACAACTTCTTTATTGGTCATTCAAGAGAGGGGTTTTGCGCTAAGAACAAATTGGAGGATTCGCATTAGTATGATAGATCTGGCATAGATAAGAAGTATTTGAATGGAGATATGCTTGTATTTTCTTCCGTCTTTGGTTGGGATGCGACTCTTCTTTGCTATCCCAGACACGCAGTGTGCACTGGTACCACTGGAAGGTGGATAATTCATCTTTGCCGGCTTCGAAGGATGCAATGTTGTCCAGCGAACTAGGTTGTGGGGCTTTGAACACTGAGGAGCAAGTTTGGCGACAGTCGGCACATTAAAGAACCGGACAATAGCTTCAACTATATCAGAGAGGAGACCGAGCGTTTCGAAGGAAATTGCGAGCTCATCTTTTGCCCTCAGCGGGAATTGAGCAATGGTTTTATTCGGGAGTATCTAATTTCGGAATTACTTCGCTTCCTTGCTTCACTTGTTGCCAATTCGCTGACAGCATCTCGGGTACAAATGAGTCGGGTGGAGGATGAAGACTGATTACCTGTTAGCGATGTCCTCTACCAACCCTGTCGTGAAATATTATCCGAGAGTCAAGTTCAATCGAATTTCAACACCTAAGATATTGGCATACGAGACGATGATTCAAGAATCCTTAACACATCAAATGTCACTCCCGACAAGACCGACTGTGACCAAAGCCTCGCGAAGTTTTGAATCACTAGGCCTCTTGTCCGCTCACTCTTTGTCCCCAGCCGGCCTTCGAATATCTAAAGATAATACGAATAATCGCAGGAGGACAATAACAGTGGGCGAAAATCTGGGAGGCAGGCTTTCGGGATGAACATGAGAGAATTCAGAACAGATCTACCGGTATCCAATGGAAAAGAAAGATTTCTTGCGTGTGTATGTTTTGTCTATTATGCTACGTGAGTCATAGACTATCTAACACATTGGGCTCCTCTCTAGCCTAGGCTACATCTCGAACAGTGCTCCTATCTTCTTTTGTCACTTCAAAGATCATTGATATATTGCCCGTGATGAATAGCCATTCAGCTCGGGGTTTACCCGTGGCATTTGGCCACCTTTTCCACGGAACCTTCTACCCAAAAAAATGGTAGCTATAGAAACTGCGTGCGCGGGATAAAGTCTCAAAAACCTGCAGCCCCAGCCGGGCGAGGCCTAGAAACTAGGACCGCATGAGGAGCGCACATTCATCTACATCTCTCTTCTTTGTAACATTGGAGGGCGGCCTGATCCAATCCACCATCTCCGTATCGGGTGCTGGTTACGCTCCGGAAACTCATCAGATAGCTTCTCCTCCATGATCAAGGGTGGGTGATGAGTAGGGCTCCGACGCTTCCATCTGATCTGATGGTGGTTTGCTTCATGATAGTGGTGATAGGGAATGTGTTGAGAGACAAAGATTATTTAGGCGGGGAAAGCGATTGGGAATCCTCATCGAAGTGAAGACTTTGTTATTCAATCTCGGCTCTGCAGACTCTACAATGAGAGCTGGAGACTCGTAGGGAACACCACTGATAGGTGTTAAGAATAGTCACCCAGAAACTTCTTATGGTCATACATGATCGACTCCTTGGTAGCGCAAAATCTGAAGCTGTGAATACAGTGGAAGCCAAAGCTCGTGTAGATAAATTTGTTTTGATCCACTAGCA